ATGTCTAATGCAAAAATATGATGTTTATATTCAAAATGATCACCAAATTATAAGAATTCCAGCAATGTAAATTATATTCTGGCCGGGTAATTTGTATGAATTTTATGAGCTAAAACAGGCAGTCAGGCAGGGTGGGGCAAATCTAAAAATAGCGTCTCGAGCCGGACACTCACCGCGTATATGTGGAAAAAATCCGTGTTAAGTGAAAGTTCAGCTCTGGCGAGGCACCGCGTATATGATAAAACGCGTTAAGTGAAACCGCGTTAGGCGGGGTAATACTGTACAGTGATCAATTAACATAGTATTGATGTGTTTAAGTAGTATTCAGGCGCCTTCAGCCAGGTAATGTTACGACATTGGTATCACTCACTCTAAACAACAAATTCCACCCATACACAGAGAGAGAGGGACCAAGCGCTCTGTTTACATCACACACACATAAATATTACATACCGTATATCTCGTATATCTCGGCCTATTTTATAATTGCAGTCATGTACTGAATATTCTATGTAAAAAATATAAATTTTAAATGAATTATTTTTAGTGCGGTCGACTTCGGACACAAAGACGGGCTATAAATAGCCTTCTTATCTCCCCTCTATCTATTACCCTCTGTTCTTAGAGAGAAGGTCTTGGTAAATAACTTTTGTTTGTTTATTTTCATTGTTTGTCTAATTTATCATGTTGTATCAAAGTAATATTACTAAAAGTTTTAGGCATCTACCAAACAGGGAGATAATACCGCCTGGGAAGATATTGGAAGCATAATGTACAGTATTGTCTAATGGTAGATCCTATTTCCATATGGCATCACGAAAATTGTGACCAAGTCTTAGGTTGCTGATCTATCTTTCTGCCTCATTTACACACAATTGCAGAGTTTCAATTGTTTCTCTTCCTTTGACAACACAACATACATACAATATAATGTTTCTCACCTTTGATCTTTTTTCCTTTTTGCATTTATTTATGGTTGGTTATTTAAAATAAGGCCAATTCACTTAAAGTATTGGCATCAAATTTTACCGGCTGGTGTACACTAGTGACTCACTTAAGCGTCAGTTATTTAACTGGAACTAATGTCGGTGTGAGTAAAATATTTCCATTTACTTGAAATAGATTTCCCAATTTATTTGTTTATTTATTTATTAATAATATACTGTAATATATTAAACACACTGCAAGTATTTTCTTTAATTATATACAGCTAGACCCCGACTTACGACTGCTTCGACTTACAACCGTCGGGACTTACGACCGCCGCAGTTGTGACCATTTTTTTTTTCATTTTTTTTCTCTCTCCAAATGACACACGCATTTTCTATACCGAAACGTTTCCAGTTAATGTAGTCTCCATGTATAATTAGAAAATTATGGGGGCCTCATGTGCATTCAGCTGACTACATTAAAGGTACAGTAAGTGCTCAGTCACACTGTATCCATTCCTCATTATTTATTACTTTCACTGTACTGTATCCATTCCTCATTATTTATTACTTTTACTGTACTGTATTTCATTGTAGACTTTTTATTAATTTTTTTTTATTTTTTATATCTATGTCGGACTTATGACCATTCGGACTTACGACCTGGATTTAGGTCCCTAACCCCGTTATAAGTCGGGGTCTAGCTGTACTTGTTTTGCGAAAAAGGGAGGCTACCATTATACCTGGTAGGTGAAGTTGACCAGACATTTATGGTGATCATTAAGGACCAAACTCCGAATCCATGACGTGACTTCTGTTCATCATTTATATCCTAAATTTACCACTGTTGGTAGTTTCAAGAATTAAAACAGTCATTTACTGAATATTCTTTGTAAAAAAATAAATTTTAAATGAATTATTTATAGGAGATAAGTATTATGATCAGTAAATATACAGATATACATTACTGACCACCTCCGAACACAAGGACGGCTAAAAATAGCCACAGGCGGTCACAGTCAAGGTCACTTTCCCTTTCTTGTCACTGGCAAATGGGAGGGGGGGGGGTGATGATAGCAGCTGTGTTTATTACCGGGGTATACTGTATTGTTCTTTTACGGTATGTTAGACAGGTTTATAATATATTTTTATTATTTTAATATACCGATAATCTTCATTTTAATCCAGCTTCCCAAACGTAAGTTTCATTATAAAATAATTAGTGGTTGGACCTTGTGAGTGGTTTACCATGTTTCCATCACCACTCTTGACACGCTAAACCGCTAACCGCAATATTTAAGAGGTAAGAATTTTATATCTGATGCTTAAGACGACCCCCTAACTTTGGGCGAATTTATTTATGGTTCAAATTCCTTCTTATAAGCCGAGATATACTGTAAATTATTTCTGCAATTCTTCACAAGCAAAACACACAAATCAATTGAACATGTGATGTCGAACGTGAACTGTAAACACTGTGTGTGATGTAAACAGAGCGTGGGTGTAAAACGCTACGTAATTTGATTTTCTCTTTTATTTAAAAATTTTACAATTTACATATACTGTACAGGTATACTGTATACATAAATATTACATAAATTATTTCTGCAATTCTTCACAAACAAAACACATAACTCAATTGAACATGTGATGTCGAACGTGAACTGTAAACACTGCATAACCCAGCGCCAAGCCATAACAACCGTTCGAGTGGAATCGCGTTAGAGCAAACTCGTTCGCGTTTTACAAATATTGTTCCTCTATTCATCAATCGCGTTAGAGCCAATTTGCGTTGTCAAAACACGCGTTATAGCAGAACTCACTGTAAACAAATTATATGAAAATATCAAAATACACAATTCATTTCAAGGGAAGTTATATAACAATACAAACTACCACAACAAACTTCTTGTGTGCTTCTAAACGTGTCATAACTTGCAATGCCTCCCACGAAAAATATGAAAACATGAAAAAATATGAAGTACCCCATATAATAATGCAATAAACTTGTATAATTTTAACCTCGTAACACAAAAAAAAACGGCAACACAGAATCTCCGAATCTCGGTAAAAAAAAATTAATTCTACAATAATAATCATTGCAACTTTAGCATTGTATAAATAATTAAAATAAACAAATTGTATGAAAATACACAAAGAATTAATTTCAAGGGAAGTTATAAACTTATATAACAATACAAACTTCCACAACAAACTCTTTCACTGTACAGTACTTTTAAACGTGTCATAACTTGCAATGCCTCCCACGAAAAGTATGAAAACATGAAAAAATATGAAATACGCCATAATAATAATTTAATAAACTTGTATAATTTATAAATACCTTATAAGATACTCCTCCAGCTGTTTATGGTTGCCCACGATCCTCCTGCCCAGGGTGCGGCGGGACATCGACGTCTTGCTGGGGTTCAGCATCTTGATCAGGCTGACAAAGGTTGGGGACTCCACTACATGCAGCGGTAGCATGTTGCAGACGAACAGGTCCACAATCCTTTTGTCCACCACAGACTGACGGACGCCAGTGCCAGCAGCTGATTGGCCAAACTCCTCGCCAATGGTGGGCTGGCGTGGATTCTTTGCAGGTGGCCACCACAACTGGCTGCTGCTCCTGCTACTGGCACCGCTACCAGAAGACTGCCTGTGTTTCCCACGGGAAGAGCCAGCCTTGATCCTCTCAAACTGGATGGCATGCGCTGGGTGTTTCCTCTTGACATGCGACTTCAAGTTGTAGAAGCTTGTCGCCTGTTCCTTGATGGTGGTCTCCTTGGGCTGGCACATGACGCTCTGGAAGTACAAGATGTTGGCGTTCCTCTTATCCCTTGACTTAAGGACAAAGTAGTCATCCAGGTGGGGCCATGGGCTCTGAGACTCTTGGGCCTGGCCCTCAGCCTGAGCGGCCTCCGCCTCAGCGGCCTCACTCACAGCCACTGCAGGCTCCTCAACACTGTCAACAGGCCCACCTGGCCCAGCATCGTCAGGCGGAACAAAAACGTCTTCACCTTCCATAACAATAAGCGATAACGTACGCTTCTGTCGCTGACACTGTAAGACTGCTTAGACTGTCTTTAACATGACAACGTCCTAAGTGAACTGAACTCAGAACTGCAGAATTACACAATGCTGCTCAGCTGCTGCAGCACGGCGTTGACAAATCATGAACTGTCACGTTTACGCGTACTAACACGCAGTCAGCCAAGTGTGCCTTAGTGGCTGTTGGAGACACGCGTCGCGGCGTCATCGTGGCGTCACATGCTTACAACAGACAGGAACAAACATGTATAAATTTTGTTAGCGGACTTAAAGTTAGTGGAACTAAATTTAGCGGAACTAAATTTAGCGGAAGCTAATTGGTCTGCTAATGGTTTCCAAAGTTAGCGAAAACGCTAATCCGCTAACGAGAAAGCTAGCTTCACTAATTAGCGGTTAGCGGATTAGCAGAACCGTGCCCATCACTGAAAATAACAAAGAACAAACCAACCACCCAAACTGCTAGTTAGGAGGAATGGTGGTGTGGAAGTCATTGCTACCATGTTTAGGGTTAAACTGTTGATGTACTAGTGAGCAATGGGATCCTAATGCTAAGTAACCTTTCCAGTGAACTTTCCATATGAATTGTTATTAACAAAATAACACCCTAATTAAACTATGTAATCTAACGTTGTATCATGCACTTCCATCTGTGGATAGGTATGCTAGGTAATTTTTTTTTTTTAATTTGCAATGCAGTACTCATCATTGGTAGTAGGTAGTCATTAGCAAGTGTTCGTAGGTATGAGTAGACCCTCTTCAGATTTGAAACATGGTTTCGGAAAAATCGCCAAATAAATAATACAAAAATTGCTGGAAAACCGTGTTACTGTATTTGTTGATATTGTCTGTACTGCAGAAACTCACTAATTTGGCAATAGTCCTGAAATGGGATTTCCAAGTTCAGATCTTAATGGTATCAGTAGATATAAGGATCAGCCCCTCACCATCAGAAGATTTAGATTTGATATGCCACAATAATATATTTATTGTAATTGAATTAATTTACTTAATTTTTTTCAGGCTGTAATGATTATTGAGCAACTCTTAGTGTTAACATGGAAGGGAGTCCAGTGAAGACAGTGTTGCATGGTGCAGAGGACATTTCACATCAAGAAGTTGAAGATGTATTACTTGCTTCAAAGATGGAGACAATAACACCTTCGAACAATGACTCTGATACCTTTGAGAGTGTGACGACCATATCTAAGGAAAGGGACTTTAAAGCTCCAGCAGATATACCATTTAAAAAACCTTTCTTTATTAGTAAAAACCAACGACTAAATACAAATCAAGATGAAAGGAAAAGTAAGGAAAAGGAGGAGAGGGAAAGTAAGCTCACCATTATAGAGTCGCCACATACTGAAAAGTTACAAGAGAAGTCGCCTGCACAAAAGTTGACTGAGAAGTCTGTTCCTCTTCCATATAAGGTAGGAAAACATTTGAAGAAATATGAGATAAAAATATACTTTCCAGTAGATGTTATGTGACATGAATAGTCAAGAGAGAAGTGTTAGATTTGGTTATATACAGTAGTCCCTCGGTTAACGAACACAATTCGTTCCAGATGGTCATTCGTTAACCGAAAATTTCGTTAACCGAAACCATTGTTTCAATGGGTTTTTGGGTAATTGGTTCCAGCTCACCGAAAATTACATACAAACTAAAAATAATTGCAGTAAAGTACACTTACTTTGAGGTGTGCATGTAGAAGGCTCCTGGTTGATGATGATGATGATGATGGGATTTAGAAGTGGGGTTGGAGGAGAAGGGAGAAGAGAAGGCAGTGGGGGTGGAAGAGAAGTCACCCCATGCTTCATGCCGCCATTTCACCCATAAAATTTTAGTTCAATTGGTGTAATTCAAGATTATTTTCTTTAAATCAACACTGCACTGCACTATATATTGTCAATATGTAAAATAAATTTCAGAATGACCAATAATTGTTCTGTAAAAACGTAAAAATAGTTTATGTTCAAGAGAGTCTCAAGCAAGATGCTTCCTCCACTGAGCAGACACACAAACTGACGCCATTCTGGGTGAGTCAAGTGGCTGTTTGGCACGCTAAAAACTAGTTCCCTGTACTTCAATTATGTTAAATACCGTAATTGTTAAAATGGCTACAAATTTTAATATAAGACTTGGAAAATTATTGAATAGTACAACCTTCTTGATATTTACTCAAATGGTAACGAATTTAAGCCCTAAAACCGATTACTGTATTGGTGGACTAATACTCCAGCTGGTGAAACGGCGAAAACATGTTGACACGATTTCGTAAGGATTTTGTTAACCAAATTTGTTTTCGTTAATCAAGTTGAAGATTCTTGTGGAAGGTAATTCATTAACCAAAATTTCATTAACTGAGGCGTTTGTTAACCGAGGGATCACTGTATAAGTTTTGGGTACAGTTCCCTTAACTTGGCTTGTATATAAATAAGTTGAGGGGTTAAGTTACAAACTCAAAATGATCTTTTCACCATTTATTGGTAAAACTATTTTGGTCACAGTCTATTAGTAGATGCGCTGTAATTATCACTGTAAGCTGTGAGTGTTAGCTAATGACGGGGGCTCAGCTTGACTGGTTAGGTCACCCGTCCGATTCTCGTGAGCTCTCAAGTGAGAACTGGTGCCTGTGAGGGAAGCTCTGAAGGAGAGGTTGGGCTAACCTTACATTCTCAAGGTCGGCTTACTGATAGAGGAATTTCCCTTCACATGAACAGCACATGGCCTCTCACATCTTATGGAAAATTACAGTGGGGTGATTGGATTATATAAACTAAATGTATTAACCCAAATTTATATAATTTTTATTGCCATGAGACAGGGGCTAATACATCGCTCGGTCACCACCTTCTAAGCTTCTTAGAGGAATTAGCTTCTCGCAGAGAAAATAAAAACTGTACATAGTCTATCCATGTTATATACATATGTGTGAAAACACTAAACCGAAGCAACTGCAATCTGGGTTTCAGCAGTTACTAGGGTCCTAGCCTTAAGTGCCTTACAGAATAGTATATTATGTACAATGGTAAATTGAAATGATATTGATCTCTAGGAGCAAAACAAAAATATTACTGCCAGTATTACACAATGCAGTGGTCCCTCTGTTAACGAACACAATTCGTTCCACAGAGTCGTTCGTTAACCGAATCCATTGTTTCAATGGGATATTGGGTAATTGGTTCCAGCTCACAGAAAAGTACATACAAAGTAAGTAAAAAAAATGCGGTAAAGTACACTTACTTTGAGGTGTGTATGTAGAAGGTTCCTGGTTGATGATGATGATGATGGGAATTAGAAGTGGGGGTGGAGGAGAAGGGAGAAGAGAAGGAAGTGGGGATGGAGGAGAAATCACCTTTCAGGGGACCCATGCTTGATGCCGTCATTTCACCAATAAAATTTTAAGTTCACTGGGTGTAATTCAAGATTATTTTATTTAAATCAACACTGCACTGTGCTATATATTATCAATATGTTAATTAAATTTCAGAATGACCAATAATTTCAATGTAGAAATGCAAAAATATTCAAGACACCAACAAAATAGATGTTCACTCCACTGTCAACAAAGCCACACTGATGCCTGGTGGCTGAGTCAAGCGGCTGATGGGCGCACAAAACACTAGTTCCCTGTACTGCATATATTATCATTATGTTAACTAAATTTTAAAGTGACTAATAATTTTAATATAAAAAATACAAAAATATTAAAGAGCACAACTTTCTTGATATTTACTCCACTGGAAACAAATGTAAACATAGAACAGATTACTGAATTGGCAGACTAAGCCCATCAGCTGATGCTCACAACAAAACATGTTGTTTGTAAGGATTTCGTTAATCAAAGTTTTGTTCGTTAACTGAATTGAAGATCCTTATGGGAGGTAATTCGTTAACCGAAATTTTTTTAATCGAACCGTTCATTAACCGAGGGACCACTATAGTGGGAATAGTTAAACTGGGTATAACAAATCCCGTGAAAAGCAAAATAAAGTAGCAGTTTATCTTCTATATTAATAAAATGTGACTCTTTCAGATAAGAAATAAATTTTAATTTATCTAACATAAGATTGAGTTCACAAAGTCAATATAGAAACTTGGTACAATGGAATCAAATCCAAAGTGAGATTTAAATTCAATGCAAAATTATGATGGGAAGGCAAGGTTTTCAACGAACTACAGGTTACCGTGCAGTAATCCGGAGCCTTATAATAACCTTTCACAACTAGCTGATTACCACCATCTTGGCATCGTAAAGTGACATAAGTTTCTTCAGTAAAAAAAAAAATATATATATATATATATATATATATATATATATATATATATATATATATATATATATATATATATATATATATATATATATATATATATATATATATATATATATATATATATATATATATATATATATATATATATACACTTGTTTAAGGGACCCAAATCCAGGTCGTAAGTCCACATGGTGTAAGTCCGACATAGATAAAAAAAAAATCTACAATGAAATACAGTACAGTAAAAGTAATGAATAATGATGAATGGATACAGTGTGACTGAGCACTTAACCTTTAATGTAGTCTTCTGAATGCACATGGGGCCCCCATAATTTTCTAATTATACATGGAGACTACATTAACTGGAAACGTTTCGGTATAGAAAATGCGTGTCATTTAAATTTTTTTATCTATATCTGAGGCGGTTGTAAGTCCCAACGGTCGTAAGTCCACGTAGTCGTAAGTCGGGGTCTAGGTGTGTGTGTATATATATATATATATATACTGAACATTATGTAGATGAGCATGAAACACAGTTTTCCTGGAAAATCGGTGTATAGTTACATTGTTTCAGCGCTGTGCGAACGTTAGTTTGTATGATCGCCAATTCGCATATTCCGTTTGCAGCAGAATTAACGCGCACCCATAGGCTGGGCATATGTATAAATGTATATATGACATCTTATACCGTGATAATATACCCTGAAATCATCCACTTCTAACTAAGAGTAGTTTTCATCTATTAGTAAAAGATCGGTTGGTATATCCAGAGTAAACAGTGTGTCTTGCATTAATTTGCTTTGCACTAGCATAGTTATGTGGATGAGGAAATCATAGTGCGTGAGAGTTGACTCTAAAAGAAGGATATACTATTCTACCTCTTCGTCTGCGAAAATTGGAGTTAACAGATAACTCTTCTTGGCTATTTGTAAGGCTTCAAGAAGAATTTTCACATACACATGCTGTGCGTCCACTCGTCCTAACCCTGCATCAACCATACTTGCAATTAGTTCATTTTTGTTAATTGATACAGCTTGACTTGAAGTTTTCATAGCATGCAAAATACTTGGAAAAAGAAATTCCAATGTAGGCACTGAATTCGTGAAATTATAAAAATTTAAATAAATGATTAGACTCAGAAATCTTTTTTGTTAATATCATTGTAGAAATGTTAGGAACATTATTATATACGTTTTGCAGAACGTAGTTTTAAACAATAATCATCAGATACACTGGGTGTATTTGACATGTTTGCTGTTTGAACAGTTGTGTCTGGGACTTCATTATCATTCCTGGGGAATGAATCTGAATGAACCTTTTTAAGTCTGTCTGCATCGCATGCACAACATCTGAAGTTTGTGAGTTTGGCTTCAAAATTTTTAATTTGTTGCACGCTGCTTTAGCAGTAATGCGGAATGGTCCGTCAAACTTGGGTGAAAGCTTGGACTTTTGTTCAGGTTCTCACACCATAGCAACATCGCCTATTTCTAGCATGACAGGCTTAGCTTGTTTATGTGGCTTGTATATCATTTCAGCACATGACGCTGATAAATGTTTACGTACTTGGCCATGAATATCCGTGAATACGTTGATTTGCCTGGTAGCGAAATCGTCCACATTATAATCTGGGCATGGCTTGTCTGTAAGTACGTCATACGGTAGACGTTTGTCTATGCCGTAAACAATATAATAGGGTGATTTGCCTGTAGAGCTGTTGATCGACCCATTAATAGATGCGGCCACTTGCAGTAACCAATCTTCCCATGCATAGTGCATTTGACTAGCTATTGGACGAAGAATCTCTAGGATTTTGCGATTGGTTCTTTCAACAAGGCCATTAGCCTGTGGATGATAGGCTACGATAATACTTTGTTGGATGTCGTATTGTCGACATTTGCTCTACAAGTTGGTTCTTGAACTCTAATCCGTTGTCGGAGAGAAGAAACTTGGGCGTAGTAAAAGGACATATGAGGTGAATAACTAAGGCATAAGCCACAGATTTGGCTGTTTATCCTTCAGTGGGACTAAAATCATAAATCTAGAAAAATGATCCACACACACTAGGAAGAATGAGGATCCTTGATGACTCCTTGGAAGTAGTAACAAGTCGATAGCGACTGTGTTAAACGGACGTTCTGGTGTAGGATATT